GAAGATACACACACACACACACACAAAGATCTTCAAGACCTGATCAATACTGTACCGTCCAGTGGAGAAAATATTTGAATATCGCAACTCTTTCAACTGCTATAAAAATACAAATATTACATGTATGATCAAAGGTTATACTGAAGGGACTTGTTATGCCATTCCACGGTATGTTTCCGTTTAGAATAAAAATGCAATTGCTACAAGGAAGCATTTAGAGGTCGAACAAACACGCCACTTTAATGTCATTGAAAAGGCTATCCAATATGCCGTTATCTTACTATAAATGCAAGATAAGGATTTTGAAATAATGTTTGAGAATATGAGTTACTATAAAAGACATAGTAAAGACATGCAAGTAGTGGCTGCCCAACTGTACATTCTGTAATAGGCCACATCGATGACACTTTTGAAGATAGCCATAGGTTCTCCATGTCATATCCAATATATTCATGTGTACGCAATGATCGTAAAATTAAATTTCAGAGAGATATGCTTGGCCGAACATAATATCCTACCTTGTCAATTATTCAAAAAATCTCCATTTCAATAAAAAATATCTTGGGACTTTGGTCTTGTGAAGCAAACTTGAATCATATTTTTGCTAAAGGTCATGTTTATATTTTTACTTGAAAGGCAAATTCTCTCTGACTTCTGTTATCAATATGTACGTCGTGCTTTAGGAAATATGTGATGCGAATGAGAAATTAATGGGGAATTTACTGATCAAAGAATATAACAAAATAAAAAAGATTAGCGTTTTGGCCCCATGACCTGAAGACGTTACTCCATCTGTCATGGTCCTGCTTACATTACTCAATTAAAATGCAACTAGTGGTGCAAAAACATCACGTCGAGATGACGGCGCGGGACGAGACCACGGCGCTGGAGCAGTCAGGCATTCAGTCGGGCATGGCGGCGGCCGTAACGACGGCGGAGGCGACGGCTTCGAGGGACGCCCTTTCTCGAGAACACAATCGGGTGAGGAAAGGATTTGTCAGGTTGATGCAGGTCAACTGGCGTAGTATAAAAAATAAAGAAAAATTTTCGGAATCTAGTTGATGCTTCCAATCCCGACATAGTAATTGGGACCGAGTCGTGGCTAACTTAGGAAATCGGATCCTCTGAAATTATTCATTCTCATTAGAAGATCTTTAGGAGGGATAGAAATGGTAGAGGGTACGGAGTATTTATTTAAGTCAAAGCAGACATGGATATTAGATTAGATTGGGTCAGCACAGATTTTTGAATGATGGGAATAGAAATTACTACTTCAGGAACCATATTAGAAATTATTGAATGCTATAAGCCTCCGAGCGACGGCTATGACATTTTATTTGGCATAATTCAGAGAATGGGAAACGAGAATGGCCATCCGATTGCTATTGGAGGCGACTTAAATATTCTTAGATCAAACTGGGAGGGAGCCGTGTGCGAGGGGAAAGTACAAAAAACTTGTGTAGCAGTCTAGTTTGGGACAGCGGACTAACGCAGGTAGTTTGGAGCGGGACGCGGCAGGATGCGATTTTGGATGTCTAATTAATTAGGCTGAAAGAACTTTTCATATCTTGTGAAGTTGTTGAGGGCATTAGCGATCACAAAGCTGTTCTTCCTGACTTAGACGGAAATATTTCAAGGAAAGGCATCAGAATAGGAACGAAAGTACGGCAATACTAGAAAGCAAATGTAGACGGGCTTCAAGGTTTTTTGGGTAACAATACAATCGCTTTCTGAGAACAGAGGGAGGGATGGAGAAATATGGGGCGCGTTCGAAGATATATGAAGCTTTTCGAAAGTTTGTTCCATGCAACATTTTTAAAAAATAATGCAAACATTTGCAAAAAATAATCCGGATCCAGAATACTACAATGCAAAAATTAGGCAAATGAGGATAACAAGAAAGGTATTTAATAACAGAAAACGCAGTAGCGAGCATATTAATATTTTTCGAAATTGTTCAAACGAATTGGAGCGAGAAAAGAAAATTGCTCAGGATGCACGTTTAAAGAATATTCTAGATGGGAAGGGAAATAACTGGACAGGATTTTGTAAATATGTTCGAACAAGGAAAAGAAATAAAGAGGATAGCCAGTTGTTCGTAAAAATGGAAACATGCTTATTACTGATGATCGGGCAGAAGCTAGTTAGTTCAATAAGTATTTCAGTTCGGTTTTCAAAATCAATACGAACTATCCATTAATTCAAGGGTCTAATTCAAGGGCCTTAAAAATCAGTTTAATATTGAAGTAAACGTTCTAGGAATAAAATAAAATCTATGAATATGGTAAGAAAAGGGTCCACAACATTTCTACGCATATAATTAAACTAGGGGAGGCCATATTACCATTACCGTTCCTAATTAGAATATATCACGAATCAATGAACAATTCAAAAGTACCTGAAGATTGTAACTCAGCCTTTGTCATACTAATTTTTGAAAGTGGTGACAAAACTGTGTGAAGTAATTATAGGCTGGTAAGTCTTAAGTCAGTGGTCTGCAAACTTCTGGAGCATTTAGTCGCGAGTTATATTAAGCAAAAATGGGAAATCAAAAAATGGCTCTATGATGGCCAACACGGGAATAGGAATGGTTACTCATGCGAAAGTCAGGTAGTCACGCTATTTCAGGATATTAAAGATGAAACTGACGCGTGCGGGAGAACAACGAAAAATTTACAGATTTTGCAAAGCGTTCGATGTTGTTCTCTAAAAGCAAGTCCTACACGTTTGGCAGGGATCATAATTACAGAGAAATAAATTAACGTTTAAATAACGACATTAATCCAAGAGTTTCCTCATGCACGTATCTAGGAACCCATTTCGATATTACATTAAGCTGGAAAATTCAAGTAGATTTTGTTGTAGGGAAAGCCTGGAGATCTCTTCACTTTGTAATACGAATCTTAAAAGAGTACAAAAAAACGCGAAGGAAATTGTTTATTTATCGCTTGTTCGTCCGATAACGGAATATAGAACAAGTTGTTGGGACTCGCACAAAATTATGCAGTGTAAAAATTTGGAAAGGATTCAGCGTAGGGCAGCTAAAAACTTTGAATACCTCATAAGTAAAATTTTAGCACCATTACCGTTAGGAAGGATCCATTGAGGCACTATATTGCAAAGTGAGTATAAGTGTGTGTATTTCTTCAACGGTTTTCACATTTCTTTTTTGTTGTGTACCAGTGAATTAATATTCATGCAGAGCTCATTTTATGTGTTTGTTTTCTTTCGATTTTTTGTTGTTTTTCATTTTTTTAGTATATCTCAGTGAATTTAATTATACTGTGGTTGTTAATATTTCAATCGTGCCTAGGTATTTTGTTTTTGCCTTTCTCTTATACCACTACCATATCCCTGAAAACATTCTTTTTCAAGTTTTTCCATCTTCTTCTATGTTGTCAAGTAAATATTTGGATCATAACCCATTGGAGGGTTGCTACCCCCACATTTGTAGTAAATCGTTGTGTGCTTGTTGTGTGAAGCCCCAACAGTATACAGTGGATGCGGCCTCGCACGAGCCAGATTGGTGAAAAAGCTTGCACTGAGGAGTGTATGTGGGTGCACAAATACCGGGGAATTGTAGCATTAATATAAGAATCTTCTTCAGAATTCTTATCACTATCTGGGCACTATATGGGCTATCACTTGAGAAAACTGCAAAGAAAAGATTAATTTTTCAAGGAATAATTAGTAGCAGTTTTTTCAGAAAATAATAAAGCGTTACTAAAAATGAGAAACTTTCAGCTGATTTACACTCTAAAACTGTCAATTTATGTCAATATCCACCAGATCACTGGGAAACAAATGAAGGGGGGCAACACTTTCAGCTGATAGTAAGTGCGCAATTTGCGTTTTCATTGGTTACAAGCTGCAGCTCGTGCTACCAACAATGTCTGTTGCTAGGACACTCACAGGTCACTGGTGCCACTGCTGAGATACTTTCTATATGTAGTAAATTACTTCCTCTAACACTTTCTGTAATTAGAATCCATATTTTGTGGGTTCCTTGATGCCAAACATTGATAGATGGCAAAAAGTCGGTCTGCCCGTAGTCACCACTAGCACCTAAATCATTCAAGCTATTTTCTCCAAAACTGATATTCCTGGATCGATCTGAACAACTCTGATCTGAACAAGTCTGAATATAATATTTTCATTTTGGGAGGTACATGACATAAAGCCCTAACAAACGTTTTAAAGTTTTCTAAGAAAATGGCTCCATTTCTTTTTATTAAACTTTGTACTCGGATAGCGTATATGACTTAATAGAATAGCGCAGGGATCCTGGTTGTTGCAAACTTTGAGTTTTTGAAAATTGTAAAAGTTCACAATATTTTCGGCGTCTTTCTACAACTACAATATTAAAGGTGGATATTATTTCCTTAATGAAATCTGTTGTTCACAGCCATCTTCAAATATGGACATACAGTACTTTTTCTTGAAATATACTCAATTTGAAAAACAATTAATTTCTCAAAAAAGACTGCAACTTTTTTCTTTGAGTTTTCTCTTTGTATCATAGGACGGTAAAAAGTTGTGTCTCTCACATTATTGGAGAACTCTCCGAATTTTCGAAAATTACAAGAAATTAACATTGCAAAAGTTTAATGTTGATAGAGATTTTTCTTAAACAAAATCTGTTCTAAAAAACCGATCTTAAGAAGGCGCGCCTCGTGGGCGTCCTTGTAGCGTTTGGGTGTCTCTCACTTTCTCCGCAAGATGTCGGTCTCAGTTACTAATGTTCGAACTCTCTTGGTCGGTAAAACGTGAGATCACCTTAGGAGGGATTACTGGAAAACAACAAGCCACAAGCGTGACATGGCGCACTCAGAATATTATCCGCCCATCGAATATCCCCAGCCGAGGTTGAACTCATAAGCTGGAGTTTTGGAAGAGTGTACGCTACCCCTTCTTGCAACCGGAAACTCCTTTAATCTTATTGTCTCCACATAGGAAAATAATTATTAAAGAAAAACAAAAAATATAAAAATAATACTCACCAATTCCAATACCAACAATAATGCGCCCCGCCAAAAGAACTTCCTTGACACTCGCAAGGCCCATTACAACAGACCCAGCAGTGAAGACTATGCTGGCTATCAATATGACAGGTTTCCGACCCATCGTATCTGAAGACAAGAAAAAAGAATTCGTAACATTTTTAAACCACAAATCTCCACATCTATACACACGTGATTCATTTCAGGTTAAAAAACCCACAACTATCTTCTCCTAATTAGTTCAACAAATGTTTTCAAAATTATTTTGCTGTGAAACGCTTTACTGCACAGCAGTTTATTGACGTTTTCTTTCTGCGTCCGGAGGGTTCGTAAAGCGAGTCAAAGCACTGAGGATATTTCTAACTCTTTCCGAAGGAAAATTACACGTTTCGGATATAACCAACGAAAAACGCTACTTTGTGAATTCGAACTCGGGTGCGCATTATGGCAGCGCTGTATTGCAAGCCATCCTGTGATTGTGCCCGGTTTCGACAGGCATGCACTTGCTGTTCGCACATGGCGCACGTGACCTCCCGAATCTTCAACAGCTTTTGCAGCCCTACTAATAAAAGCTTGGTGTAACTTCGTTAAAACACGCTTATTCTGGGAATAGTTACTTCCAGCGTAAGTTCGGAATAAGGATGAATTAAATTTTTACCAATAATGGCCGCTAAACCGTAGCTTAACTAGTTCTTGTTAAATACGGAATCAATGCTTGGCAACGTTGCTTCATACACAGTCGTTGGCGTATTTTGTTTATTCTTTGGTGCCTCTGTAAGGACTCGGCAGGAACTTCGCGCCACGTTTGAATAGAATATTTCACATTTTTTCCTGAATTGTGTTATTGCATTGGTAGTTAGTGAACTCTTATTGATAAACAAATTGTTTTAGAAATGCGATAATTTTGAATGCTGGTGTCCTTTTAAAAAAAATTAATGACCGAAAGCGCGTGTGCAGGTTAAGGATAGATAAATGATTGCAGAAAGAGCACAGTTTAACAATGAAATCTGACGAATGTCATGAGAAAAAGATGTGAATTCGGTGAAATAAATAAACTGTGTGTTCAGTAAATTTATGAATATAACACACATAATGCATTTATAACCCTTTTTGAATTTTTCAGTGTTTCAATTGTGAAAATTTTAAAAATTTGTCTCTAAATCCGAATAATAATATAATAATCCCAAAAAACACATTCTAAAGAACTTAAAATTGATTTTTTTTAAATCCTGTATTCATCTCACAAACAACTTTTATAATTTACTTATTTCACATGTATCTAAAAATTTTGCTTTAGGACCAAATTATTTTCCCAATTCTTGAATACATTAATGTTTCCTTAAAAGCATTTCCCATCCTCCGTAATTTAAATAATTATTCCCCCCCCCCTTTCAATTTAATTCTTTTTAAAGAGAATGGTATTTATTCAAATATAGTTAAATTTATTCTTTAATATTGTGGGTAATATTATTTACTTTCAAATTATATGCTGGCGTCTTGCCATATATAATTATTGCAAACAAAGTTAAAATATAAATAAATATAATAAAAAAAAAGGAGAAGTTAATTCTAACTTAATTGGAGAATGTTTATATGATTGTCAAACAATAATTGTTAGAGATGAAAAAATCGTCCATTCAACTTAATAACCAATTAAAACTGCAGCTTCAATTCATTTTACTCATATGCCATTAGGAACACTTAATTCTGATATAAGGATAGAACATTATTTAA